CAATTAAGCAAGAGCCCACCGCCGCTGATGGGAACAACTGACCTCACAGATCAGTCCGAAGAAGCAAGAGTACGCCGCCGCTGAAGGGGGGGCTAACTATTTTGGCCGTTCAAACCAGGCAAATACTTCTGCCTTTTATAGCACAATTGGGKCTTTTATCTTGTTTTCTTTTTATTTTTATTTTATCATATGTTTGTACGATTTTAACTCAATTAATTCCCGGGACTCAAGAGRCCGATCGTCTACAAACTGYCGAATSAAGGGCATTCTAAGGAACTTTATTTCGGATCGATCGAGGTCACTGGGGAATCCAATGCTGGCCGATTGAGAGCTTCTCAATCGAACATATCATTTGTGTTTTTGAGCCAGCCTGGTTACAATCTGCTCGAGCGCAAAGGGGCTATCCCGCGAGGGAGAGAGAGAGAGAGAGAGAGAGAGAGAGAGAGAGAGAATTTGGAGAGGAGGAGCGAGAAAACGAGCCAGGAGGACAGAGCGAAGAATGTTAAAGGGGAGGAGAAGAGAGACCGAAAGAGGGGAGGTGCGCAGAGAGGTAGAGTGAGTAAAAGAGGGACAAAGGAAGAGAAGGGGAGAGACTGTTCACACATAAAGACTAAGAGAGTGAAAGGAAGAAAGAGATACACTTGAAAAACGAGCTATCTGCTAACAGGCTTACAGTGAAGCTTTTCATGTGGCTGGACTAAATAGAAAAAGGGAATCAACCCCCCCCCCCCTTAGCTGCCACTTCATTGTTTGTCTGTGTCCTCTTCATTTGAAAGTTGGTCAAATTTAGTGCCTTGTTCAACACTCGCTTCTTTTATCTAATTGTATTATCCTGTTCCTCTCTTTTAAGGGACTGCCCTGAAGCAATGAGAGTAAAGCACTCCTGATYAGATTTCGCGTGGATTCTAAGATATCTTGAAGGAAAGAACATTTGAACTAAACAATGTAATTTGTTTAAAACAAGACGGGTGACAGACAGCACACAAAAGGCTCTCCTGCTGGTCGCTGAGGACCTCGGAAGCGGGCACGGCGAATGACAGGCGCCGTTGCCCTTGGCTTCAGCGACAAGTGGGCGCCCCTCCTCGGGTTTGCTCACAACTTTGGCGCCGTTGCCGGGGAGGGGAGCAGCACCTCCAAGGCCGCGGCCTTCCTCAACCAACGGGGGTGTACGGGCTGATTAGTCAAACACTAATCAGCTTGTTTTCTTGATTAGTTTTATTTTTTTATAATTATTTTATTTAGTTTTTTTTATATATCTCCCGATCCGCGCGTTTTCGAGCGAGCCGCGCTGGAGCAAAGTTCGTCCTCTCGTGGAGGTGAACGTTTGGAGACGTTTTTTGAAAAATTCGAACGGCTAGAAAAAAAGATATG